ACACACACATACACACACACTCACTTTTCTCTCAAACATACTTTCTTCACCTCAAAAATGTTGTGGACTGCACAACTCTTTTCAACCTCCCGGGGCGGTGCTACTGACTGAAGTGTCTTTAGGCCATTCCCAAAGGAGGGACATTAAAATGTTCTTATGCACAGTTGAGATGTAAAAGGGCTGATTCATCAATATCATGCTCATAACTGTGCCTGAACTGCAACAGGGACCTGCTGCTTTTTCTCTCCTAATCTTACTATCGTCATTTTTCCACTACTTCTTTTGTATCTTCGTCACCCTCTTGTGACCCGCTATTTCCGGGTTGCCTTGATAGCCGAAGCAGACTTTGTGCTGTTGAAGCTAGAAAGGTTAGCAGAGTAACCCTGATTCCCTGTAAGGACTTCTCTGTTGACGTCCACCCCTAGGGGCTCCTTTGACCTTATGCAGTTGCGAGGGCTGTAAAACCTCTACTCAAACTTTTAAAAATAACATCTGTTTTTCCCTGATCTCCAGGAATGGGCAGTGAATTACTGGATCAATGGCGGCTACCCAGCAGACAGGCTAGTGGTGGGCGTGCCCTTCTATGGGCGGAGCTTCACTCTGTCAGGTTCGAACTCCGGCCTCGGGGCTTCTGCCCGTGGGGCGGGAACAGCAGGGAAGTACACCAGAGAGGCTGGATTCCTGGCTTTCTACGAGGTATTGTTATTATTATTATCATTATTATTAGTAGTAGTAGTAGTAGTAGTAGTAGTAGTAGTAGTAGTAGTAGTAGTAGTAGTAGTAGTAGTAGTAGTAGTAGTAGTAGTAGTTGTGGTATTGAAGGTGCAGTGGCGGAGCGGTTAGTGTGCTCTTCTCCGAAGCGGAAAGTGGGGGTTCGAACCTCGGTTCGGACACGGATTTTTTTGGCCTCCTCCTGCAGACCCAGCAGTAATGGGTACCTGAATTCGAGTTCAGGAAGTAAAACTGCTGCTGCCTCCTGCTGAGGCTGCTGCTGCTGCTGCTGCTGCTGCTGATGATGATGATGATGATGATAATGATGTTGATGATGATGATTGTTATTGTTAGTATTACATACTGTGTTACTTTGAGGTCATGATGGAAAAATGATGGTGAAAAAGATGCGGGATTTTCTTGATAAATTGAATAAATTGACAAAATTATACCCCAAAATAGGATTTTTTTAAAGCCCTCAGTTATGTTACCAGTTCGTGTTGAATGGAATTTAAAGGTTAGGGTCTTTCACTGGGTTTAAGGCATCATACAGTGTATTCTTGTTTTGTTTTATTAAGTTGTTGGGTTTTTTTTAACAGCACTCTCTACTGTATAAAGCCGTATAAGCGCGCAGGACACTTGAAACATTTTCAGATTAGTAGGAATTATTTTTGAATTTTGCCTGGGCGGCGGCCGAAACCTGCTCTTTTATCGATTTTGGACCACTAAGGGATCTTTAATGTGCGCAACTTGCACACAGGCCCTGGGATATTTTTTGCCTTTATCCGAGAAGGCCCACCAGAATATCAGGAGTGTTGCTGAAAGAAAGCAGTAAAAAAAAGCCAAGGAGTAGCTGTAGAAAGGCTGCAGAAAGAGTCAGGAGCCCAGATGAGGAGGCAAAGGAGGTGAGGGGGTGGAGGCGGAAAGTGGAGCAGACGATAGAACATTGCCAGAGAGCAGAACAGGAGGTGAAAGGAGACAATTGTAGAGAAGAAAATTTTTCCGTCGCTACCCGGATTCGAACCAGGGACCTTTGAATGAGAGGCAAATACCTTAACCTATTGGCCACGAGAG